CAATTTTTGTTGTTGTTATCTCCACAGATTATGTCTTGTAGGAAATACAGGAAATAAAAAAGATTTTCCCGTTTTTCCCCGAGAAGCTGCAAGCCACCCCTCCAAGTCTGTAACCTAAGGGATAATTTTGCAAAGGTCCACCCAACTCTTTTATCTGAATATCAGTGGGATTGGTTGTGGGAGGTTTAAGAGAGTGCTACACCTTCCCTATATTTCTAGCCTACAGGGACATTCTACTGTCATTATTGTACACTGTGTCTCAATTCTTCAATATTTCTACTTCTTACCAGTGTGCCACTATGGTATTATAACCAGATAAAACTTAGATTTAGTATTTTTCAGGAAGCACTAGTCTTGGCTTAGATTTTGGGCCAACTGATTTCCTTGTGACTTCAACTTTGTGAGTTTTCTTTTAAATCATGGTTGTTTCTATTTTTCATGCCTTTTACATTGCTAAACATTTAAACATTGATAAATAGAAACTGAAAGTGCCGAGTGACATTTTTGAAATGAAAGGTAAGTTTCTTGCCTGCAGATATACTAATTGGTGACAAAATAGAGTTTACTGTAAACTTGTCAGCAAAGCATTGCTTCTGTGAACTAGTTATTGGCTCATGAAAATATAGCATTGCAAAGAAACCTTCTCTAAAACACATTTTTTGTTTATATAGTGATACCTAATTTTTAATATATTTTAGTCTGTTTTTGTTATAGAGATATATTTACTTCATTTTATGTATTAGTAATGATCTTTTGTAAATATACTAGCTTTTACTTCTGGATGAACTTGATTTTCACTGGCAAGAAACTATTAGTATATTCTTTTCAATTGCTAGTGTTTTACACATTATTAAATAGCAAGAGGGTAATAATTGAGATAACGTGTTTGTTGCCTTTAAAGCTACTGAATTCTAAAAGAAGCATTGAGTGATTTATATTGATAATATCCGTAATCATAAAATTAGAATAACATCAATATTAATAATGAAAGCATCAGCTGACAATAAAAGTAAAATTATCATATAAATATAAATATATCCAAGACTGAGGGTATAGGTCAGTGGTAGAGCATATACTGCAACTCCTAGCACACAAAAATTTGCATATCTATAAACATGTATAAAATGCTTTGAGATTCAGTATTTTGTCACTAGGTTATTTGTCTAGATTAATGTGGAATTAGGTTATCGTTTTGTGATATCATCAGTAGCTTAACTCATATTGCCTGAAAATATATCTTCCCGTGTTAAGTTATGAACAAAATTTGATTTCAAAATATGATAACACGGATATGGAAAAATTATATCGTTTTATTCTGGAGAAGGATTTTGGCTTTCATCGACTGCATTAATTGTAACAAAAGAAATCTTTTCAGAGATTTTTAAATCACTTTGTGAAGATTAAGTTAAGGAAACAGATGTCACCATCTAAATATTACAGGCATATAGTGTAAGTACAAGAAAATTTAAATGATTATCAAGAAGCACATGTAAAACTGTAATAATTATAGTATTCAGATGAAAGAGTCACTGACAGAATTTTGTTTTTATTTATCAAATATCCTATGCAGATGATGGGCTACTTTTTATCAATAAAACCTCAGAATTTATTTTTATATTTTGATTTTTTTAGAGTGTCTCATTTATTTTCCTTAATATTATGTCATTGGTGCACATCTATTTACCTAAAAATGCTTCAAGTTTATTCTTCTTTATGGCAGACTAGCACCCCATTGTGTATAAATACTACATTTTTAACCCATTCATGTATTGATGGCCATATAGGTTGTTTCCAAGATTTAACTACTATATTTGTGCTGCTATAAACATGGTTGTGCATGTATCATCATTATGTGATGTCTTGAATTCTTTGGGGAAGACAGCTAGAAAAAGAATGAAGTCAAATGGTATTTCTATTTTTGATTTTTGCAGAATCTCCATACTGATTTCTGTAGTGGTTATACTAATTTACATTCCCACCAACACTTTTGAAGGGTTATTTTTTCCCTGAAGCCTCACCAGCAGTTGATCTTACTTGATTTCTTGAAGATAGCCATTTTTTCTAGAGAGAGGAAATATCAGTGTTATTTTACTTTGCATTTCTGCAATAACCAGTGATGTTGAACTTTTTTTAAATGTATTTATTGGCCGTCTGTACTTTTTTTTTTCTGAGAAGTTTCTATTCATTTCAGTTGCCCATTTTTGATTAGTTATTTTTTTGTGGGTAATTTTTTTGAGTTTTTATATTTTCTAGATGTTAGTGTTCTATCCAAGGAATAGCTCACAATTATTTTTCTCATTCTGTAGGCTGCTTCTGCATTCTGTTGGTTGTTCCTTTTGACATGCAGAAGCTTTTCAGTTTGATATAATCTCATTTATAGATTCTCATTATTCATTCTTGTGCCACTGGGGTTCTGTTCAGAAAGTGCTTACTTATACTTGTCTTCAAAAGTTGTACATATTTTATCTTCCAGCAGATTAGGTGTTTCTGTTCTTTTTTTTTTCTTAAATTCTTTTATTGGTACATTTTAGGTATACAAACACAATCACATTTCTCATTGGGAATTTGTACCTTTACACGATGCATCTTGGTTCTTATTTTTTCCCCATTGCTAGCCTTCCATTCACCTGCTCCACCCTTCCCTAATTACAAAGACTTTATTTCCATTTTTTCCATTTCTCATCATTTTTGCTCTCCCTTCTTTCCTTTCCAATGCCCCTCCCACTACCCTTACCCCTTTGGACCTTTTCTTCCTATTTTGCATTATCCATTATTCATTCTACTCATTGGTACATTTTAGGTATACAATATAATGACATTCATCATTGGAAATTTGCACCTTTACATAATCTCTCTTGGTTCTTA